CATTTTTTTAAGTTCTATGATTATATTACCATCCTCATCTCCTCCCATGTTTTACTTTATCTTTACAATAGTCAATATTCTTAACTAATTTATAGTTTTAATTATAATTTTTTAGTATATATTTTGAAATTAATCAATTCTAATCTATTATTTGAAAAACTAATCAATTCTAATCAATAATTTAGAAAACTAATCGATTATAATTAATTATTTGAAAAAATTATCAAATATGATCGATCATTTCGAAAATATAATCGATCAGAATCAAACATCGCTCAGGCGAGACTAGACTCGCTAAGCGAAACACAACCCGAGAGTACTAATTTTGTGCAGGGGCGTTTCGCTCGAGCGAGAACATCGTCGCTCAAGCGAGATACAGTTAAGATAGCGGTTACACAGAACCGCTCTTAAAAGATCACTTAGATAGTGGTTAACCCTTGAACCGCTATTATATGGTTTCCATTATGATCTATCAGAATGCAATTATGACCGATCATAATGAAAACTTACATTAACTATTTTTTTATATTATGTTTTTAAATTTTCTATTAGAGAAAACCTTTCAGAATTCAAAATGTTAAATAGTTTTAAATATTAAAATTAACTTTATCAAAAATTTGGGAAAAAAATTAATGAAAAAAGAGTTCAAAAATGTATTATAATATTGTCAATTTTGAGTTTAATATATTGTTCATTCTCAAAGTAGAAAAATATATTGTAATTATTTTAATTTAATAAAATATAATTTAAAATTTTAATACTAAAATTAAAAGATTAAATAATAATAAATTTAATTCTTTAAATTCAATAGCTAGAAAGTAAAATTATAGTTTCTCTGTTTTAAATAATTAAAATAAATATTTAAAAATAAAAATCAAACTAGTATTATCTTAAATTTATTAAAAGTGTAATTAAATATCTATTTTCTTAATTTTATTTGTTTCAAACTTCTCAATTCTACATTTTTGTAAGTTCTATCATTATATTATCATCCTCATCTCCTCCCATGTTCTACTTTATCTTTACAATACTCAATATTCTTAACTAATTTATAGTTTTAATTATAATTTTTTAGTATATATTTTGAAATTAATCAATTCTAATCTATTATTTAAAAAACTAATCAATTCTAATCAATAATTTAGAAAACTAATCGATTATAATTAATTATTTGAAAAAATTATCAAATATGATCGATCATTTCGAAAATCTAATCGATCAGAATCAAATATCGCTCGAGCGAGACTAGACTCGCTCAAGCGAAATACAACCCGAGAGTACTAATTTTGTGCAGGGGCGTTTCGCTCGAGCGAGAACGTTGTCGCTCAAGCGAGATACGGTTTAGATAGCGGTTACACAGAACCGCTCTTAAAATCTCACTTAGATAGCGGTTAACCCTTGAACCGCTATTATATGGTTTCAATTATGATCGGTACGAATGCAATTATGACCGATCATAACTATTTTAATCGATTAAATCTCGTTTCAATCGATTAAAACAATTTCTGCACAGCTGTTTTAATCGATTAAAACTTATTTTTATCAGTTAAAATAACTTGAAAAGTTTTAGGAGAAAGTTTTGCAAGTATTTCAATTGATTGAATCGCGAAACAATCGATTAAATTAACTTAGAAGATTTTTTGTAAAGTGTTTTAATTGATATAAACGTTGTCGTATCAGCTTAAAACAAATCATTAAAGAATCAAGAACGTATTAATGGATTAAAAGAAGTTTTAACGATTAAAACTGCACTTTTAACATATTAAAAGAATCTTTTAACAGATTAATTAAACCGCAGCTTTGAAAATCTTCTATAAAAACAGTTTGGCTTGAACTTTTTTAACATACATTGAATATATAATCTTTAAAAAATAAATAAATTTATATATATATATATATATATATATATATATATATATATATTTGCATTTTAATTTTCAAATATTAATTTTTTTATGAAATTAATTTTAATTAAAAAAATTAAAGTGATACATATATATATATATATATATATATATATATATATATCCAACTATTAAATTATTCAAGATATTAATATAAATTTAAAATATCAATTCAGTAATTAAAATAATTTTAATTTTTTATAAATACATTGAAATACATTTTTATTAACATACAAGTAATATATATATATATATATATATATATATATATATATATATATATAAAGAGACTAAATTAATAATTAATTTAATTATTGATTTAGTGACCGATTCTAATGACAGATCGATTGACTCGATCTGATCGAGATCAAGTGATCAATCGATGACCGAATCGAGTGACCGATTCAAGGACCGATTCGGTGACCGATTCGAAGTGATCGATTCGGTGACCGAATTAGTGACCGATTCAGTGACCGAATCAATGACCGATTCTGTGACTAATTTAATAATCAATTTTAATTTTTTTATTCACATGCTAAATTAAAAAATAAAATCAAATAATTATATTACTAAATTATTTAATAAGTTAGTAAACAATTTTTTTAAATATTTATAATGTTATTAAAAATGTTATCAATTATTTTAAATTATTAAGTAAATTTATATTTAAAATATTTTAAATAAAATATTTATATAAATGAAAAATAGTTATCAGTTTAAAAATTATTTTTTTAGTGATCGAAATTTTAGTCACTAAATCAGTTACTAAATATAAAAAAATCAGTAACAAAAATAATTACATAAATTAAATATAGATTAATTAAAAAAATCAATTAAATAATAAAGTGATCTGAAATAGTAACCGATTTTATGTGACCGAAAATTCGATTACTATTTCGATTACTAGACTAAAAAATAATAATTTGGTTACTGATTCGATCACCGATAGTAACTAAATTTTTCGATCACCGATTTCGGTTACTATTTGACATTTTTCTAGTAGTGACCATTGGTCATCTTTAAGCGCTTCCTCAACATTTTTGGGTTCTATCTCGTGACACAAAAGCTACGGACATACAGAAATTAGTCATATTTCTAGTTCTTACCCCTTTTGAGATGTCACCTATGATATTGTCCATTGAGAGTCTTCTAGGTGATTGTCATTCTTTTGCTAATTGAGGCGTTTGAGAAGGCTCATTTTCTTCCAAATATAATTCATCAAGAGCCTCTCTTATATATTCATCATCATCTGCAAGTTCTTTATTTGACTCAAGAGGATTTCCCCCAAGGTCTACAATCTCATCAAAAGTAACATGTATAGATTATTCTATATTTAACATTCTCCTATTAAACACCCTGTAAGCCTTGCTAGTTAATGAATAACCTAAGAAAATGCCTTCATCAGCTTTTGAGTCAAATTTTCCTAAGTTGTCCTTTCCATTATTTAATACAAAGCACTTACAAAGCACTTACCTCTTATTAATATATTTCATTTTCGAATTAGGTGTTCGAATGCATTATTGATTATTGAAATAATATAAACATGTTTTCAAATAAGTCAGATCTGATTATTTGAGAGAAACTTAGTCAATTTGATTCTCAAATATATTATTACTATTATTAATTAAATTATATAAATTAAATTATTTGATGATATTTTTCATAGTAATGTATATACATAATGTAGATTATAATGAAAGCAATTATCAACTCCTTAGCCTATTTATAGGACAACCCCTATCAATTTGTATGGTCGAGGTTGTTTCTTCTAGGATGTTCTCGCACTTAAAACTTGTATTAATCTCCCTCTATACATTCACACCTCATGAGAATAGTACTAGATTATTCTATATAATTTTTCTTTAATCAATAGTTGAAAACTAATCGATTATTTCGACTATTTAAGAGCGGTTCCACGTTAACCGCTATATATATATATATATATATATATATATATATATATATATATATATATATATATATATTAAATAAATTAAAATTAAATATATGAACTCTAAATTAAATTTATATATAAAATTTACATAAATAAAAATAATAATTATCAACTTAAAATAAATTATATTTTAATATATATATATATATATATATATATTTTTATTCTTTAAAGTATAACTTATTTTCATTTCTATAATATAATATATATATATATATATATATATATATATATATATATTTTTAACTATTCATAAAACTAATCGATTATTTCAAAAAGTAATCGATTAGGGTTTTCATTCTTATTTTAGATAGCGGTTAACGTGGGACTCGCTATCATATAACCGCTATCATATTTATCAAATTTAAGAGCGGTTCGATCTTAACCGCTATTATATATATTTATATATATATATATATATATATTTTAACTATTTAAAAAACTAATCGATTATTTCAAAAGGTAATCAATTAGTTTTTTCATACTCTATGAGAATCAGTTATTTTTTTTAATAATTGATTAAGTTTTAAATAATCAATTAGTTTTTCAAATATATATTAAATAATTATAAATAAAAAAATATATCAAATTAAAATTTAAAAAAAAATAATTATTTTTAAATAATATATATTATATATATTATAAATATAAAATTAAAAAAATTATATTCAAAATTATAACCTTAAAAAAATATAATTATAAAATTAATAAAAATATAACTATTTTTAATGTTAAATCAATTATATATATTATATAATTATATATATATATATATATATATATATATATATTATTACATAAATTAAAATTACATATATGAACTCTAAATTAATTTTATATATAAAATTTACATAAATAAAAATTAAAAATAAATTATATTTTAAAGATGTAGTGACGACAAACAAGATGTACTAGCTAACCCCTCAATACCTCCGTCACTCCCTCTCATCTCATACAAAACTTTCTCTCGTGTTCTCCGCTAACAAACTTGCTATACTCTGACACAACTCAAGGACATTTTCGTATTTTCACCATCTTCAGTATAAATACACCCTTCCCGTTCTATTTCCGCGTCAATTACAGTTTTTTACTTCGTTTAATTTTCGTGTTAGTTTTTTTCGCTCCCGAATTCTCCAATTCAAATGGACAGAAGCAGTTCCAGACGCAGAGGCCGTTCCCCTTACCGTGGCGGCAATGCTGGCCGTAACAGTCCCGGTGGCCGAGGCGGCAATGCTGGCCGTAACAGTTCCGGTGGCCGAGGCGGCAATGCTGGTCGTAGCATTTACCGCGGCCGTGACAGTTACGTTGGCCGTACAGGAAGACCTTATCAACATCACCAGTTCAGTAGTGGCAATGAACAAGGGTCTCCTTCCGAACAACAACCACTACGGAGGTTAAACCCTTCTTCTCCTGGTGCATCTTCAGAATCTCACAATTCTCACCCTCAAACTGAGACTGAAACTGGAAATCAAAGACAAACTACTCATAATCCAGGTATTGAGCGCGTTATTCTTGCTTATTTTGATGCTTAATTTATAGCCTAAATCTGCATCAATATTTATAATAAATGATAGTACTAGTTGAATGTAGTTTGAATTCTTAACAGACGCAGGTTCTTTGAAGATATCAAAGGGAATATCAGACCTATGCATAGGCCTGACAAAGGGGGAAGGGATAAAGTTGAAACAAGGAATCTCGAGGTGAACCATTTCCTTGTTGAGTTTGACGAAGGCAGAGTAATCTTCCACTACGATGTCGACGTGAAGGCCAGGGGTACCCCCAGTTGGCCTCAGAAAATTTCAAAGTTATATCTGTCGTTGATTAGGAAGAAGCTATTTTCCGATCACAGGCTACCGAGTTCGGCGTACGACGGCGAAAGGAACATCTTCAGCTCGGAGCCGTTGCCTGCAGAAACCTATGATGTGGACGTGTTCATTGATGGAGACGAAAGGCTCGTTGGCTACTCGGTCACTTTCAGACTCGTGAAGGTGCTTGAACTCCACAAATTGAGAGATTACTTGAGTGGAAATGTTCTTTCGACTCCTAGAGATGTTTTACAGGGCTTGGATTTGGTAGTGAAAGAGAATCCAAGCAGCGGTGTGATTCGTTTGGGCGCTGCTTCTTCCCCATGCATAATCCTAGAACTCCGAGAGACGTGATAATTCCAACTGAAGGGTTTCAGCAGAGTCTTAAGCCCACTTCTCAGGGCTTGTCCTTGTGCCTGGACTATTCCGTTTCGTCGTATGTTGGGAAGGATAAACCGGTGTTGGAGTTTCTGCTCGAACAGATTCCGAACTTAAATTTGAATCAGACCTCGACGTTCAAGAGCAAAGTTGAGACTCTACTTGTGGGGTTGAAAGTTAATGTGACCCACCGGAGGACGAAGCAAAAATACACTATTACCAGGTTGACACGCAGGGCTACGAAGGATATCTCATTCCCTGCTTTGGACTCTGAGGGACGGTATACTGGATGGACACCTTCTCTGGATGGCTTCTTTTTACAGAAGTACGGCAAGAAGATTCAACACGTAGACCTTCCTGCCTTGGATTTTGGAGGCAACAAGATGAATTATGTGCCTATGGAGTTGTGTGTCTTGGTTAAGGATCAAAGATGCCCCAGAAAGAATTTATCGGACACAAATGCTGCCACAGAGTTGACACGTAAGGCAGTGATTCCTCCACCAATGAGGCGAGACAAAATAAGAGCTTTAGTAAAATCAAATGAAGGACCGTGTGGGTAAGGGAATATTATTTCATGGGCATGCCTAGATACTTTCAGATTTTTGGTCAGTGAATGTTGGATTTGCATAGATTGCAAATGATTTGTGTATTGTCACTTTCTTCTCCTTGTCTGTCTACTAATTTGGCAACTGTTGTGATCCATAAGTCAATTTTTTACCTTGCTGGGCATATATTTTCGTAATATTATTATTTAATATTTATGTTTTGTGGAACTTTTGATGCTTCCTTTCTTTGGTTTTTATAGTTACTGTTGTTGATCGAAACTAGCTGCTAGCCAGAAACCTACTTAGTTTTATTAGTATTAGTATGGACTGTTTCTGGTACTTTCGTGTTTCTTTTTCTTTTTGTTTCTCCCCTCCACCCCGCTTTGTATTGTCCAACAAGTTTACGTTTCAAAAGTCAACTAATTAAATATCAGGGACTTGCATCTAAAGGAATGCATAGCTTTGAGCACTAGCACACATTCTCAAATGTCCAATGCATATAATGCATTCTTTCCATATTTGTTGACTTAATTGTGTATAAAATAAACTGATTAGGTATATATATGCAAATTGATAACTTTTTATGAAAGTTTTTATATGTGTAGAACTAGAATTGGAAATGTAATGATTATGGCTCTATTTGAGTAATGATTTCATTATTTTGTAATCGGAGAACATATAACTTCATAATCCATGTATCTTTTTCAGTTTTCCACTTTATCATGATTTATTCTCTCTATCTGCCCTTATTCTTGAGTCTGTTAGAGACAAAGGTCTCATAAAATATCTCTTTTGACAGAGGTGGTGTTATTGAAAGTTTTGGAATGCGTGTGCACACTTCCCTGACAAATGTGAGCGGACGTATAATTCATCCCCCAGAATTGAAGATAGGTGATAGACGTGGTCAGATTATTAGTCTGCCACTGAGTCCAGCGAAAACTTGGTGGAATCTAAATGATAGATCAATGGTGGAAGGCAAGCCACTTAAGTGTTGGGGCATTCTTTTCTTTTATAAGCATGGTAAACAAAAATTTAAAAGCGAACAGTTCATTGAAAATCTTACTAAAAGGTATACAGCTTTGGGCATTGGCATGGAGAAGCCCGCTTCGTATGAAGAATATTGTATTTCGACACTTAGCAATTACGCTTCGCTGTTTGAATTACTTAAAAGAATTAATGGTCAGGTTCGAGAGAAATGTGGACAACGGCTGCAGTTCCTTCTTTGTGTGATGGGCGAAAAACATTCAGGTTACAAGTGCCTCAAATGGATTGCTGAGACCAAAGTTGGGATACTGACACAATGCTGCTTGTTTTCTCATGCTAATAAAGGGGCTGAGAATTTTCTTTCAAATCTTGTCCTCAAGATAAATGCCAAAATTGGAGGAAGTAATGTAGAGCTCATGAATAGGCTCCCAAACTTTGACGGTGAAGGTCATGTTATGTTCATAGGGGCTGATGTTAATCATCCAGCTTCCCGGGACATCAACAGTCCATCAATTGCTGCTGTAGTTGCCACTGTTAATTGGCCTGCTGCAAATAGCTATGCCACACGTGTTTGTGCTCAAGGTAATCGGGTTGAGAAAATTTTGAATTTTGGGAGAATTTGCCATGACCTAGTTTCATATTACAATAGGGTGAACAAAGTCTGGCCAGAAAAAATTGTTATCTTTCGTGATGGCGTGAGCGAAAGTCAATTTCATATGGTTCTCACGGAGGAGTTGCAAGATTTGAAATCAGTGTTTCGTGATTCAAATTACTTCCCAACCATCACTCTTATTGTTGCACAAAAGAGACATCAAACTCGATTTTTTGACAAGGAGCGATTATCAAATTTGAATCCTGGAACAGTTGTTGACACAGAAGTAGTACATCCTTTTGAATTTGACTTTTACCTCTGTAGTCACCATGGGACGTTGGGTACATGCAAGCCCACTCACTATCATGTGTTATGGGATGAGCACAAGTTTACATCTGATGATTTGCAAAAACTGATATACCATATGTGCTTTACCTTTGCAAGGTGCACTGGACCTGTATCTTTAGTCCCTCCAGTGTACTATGCTGATCTTGCTGCATATAGAGGCCGGTTATACTATGAAGCAATGTATGAAATCCAACCTCCTGCCTCTTCCGCTACTGCATCTTCTTCCTCAGTTTCTACCCAAGGCTCAAGTATGTATGATCAAGGGTGTTACAAGTTGCACTCTGATGTGGAAAACCAAATGTTCTTCATTTGAATGCCTTGGGTTGTGCTACAAGAACTCTGCTCCCTTTGCATTGGGACAAGCCGCTTCCTGTAGTTTGCGCCTTAATCTTCAAACTGTCTTGTCCTTTGTTATAGTTGTAATTGAGTCGGACATTGTTGATGTTATTTTAGTCTGTTTTGGGTTAAATAACGGTGGAGATGGGGAGAGCTTGTCTACTGGTGTCTTTGACGCAAATGAATGGAATCTTTCCACTAAAATATATTTTTAATAGTGGTTAGTTCTAGAACCGCTATCTAAGTCTCGGGTCAACGGGTATTTTCACTTAAGCGAATAGTGATTGAAATATGTGGTGACCCAAGTTGCATTACGGGCTAAACGTCCAACGCAGTTAGCCACATAACGCAACTTGGGTCACCACATATTTTAATCACCTCTCGCTCAAGCGAAAATACCCGTCGCTTGAGCGATAATTGACCCGAGATAACCCTTTGTTACATATTTTCTCCTCAAGCGAAGTGTTCTTCGCTTGAGCGATAATTGACCCGAGATTACACCTGTTACAGATTTCCTCGCTCAAGTGAGGGGTTTATTCGCTTGAGCGAGAGTTCATTGCGCGAAATAATCGATCATAATATAAAATAATCGATTATTTTAATACGTGAACAGTAAAGAGTGCTAGTTGTGTAAATAATGTTCCAGATATGCTACTTTGGGAAATATTTTTAAAAATAGTATTATTTATGAAAAAAAGTGGTAGGAGTGGATATAGTGTGGGTTTGTGTAGATAGTTGAAAATCTTGTTTAGGGAATAATGTAACAGCAAAAGCTAGTTCAGCATGACATATTTGACAATGAACAGCTAATCAATATCTAAATGTGGTTTCTATTTAATTTGAATTGAACCAGCACCTAATTAAATTCATTGATTATTTTGGATGTACTTTGTTGATGTGAAGGTGCAAATTAAAAACATTTATAAAAGAATTTAATTTTGATAGTTCACAATATTGTTACTGTACCTAAAATTGATTTAATGAATGTGATGTGATTAAGAACAACACAGCTACCACCATTTCCGAAAAGTAGTTTTGTGTCTGAGAAAGACTTACATGTGCTACCTTAAAAATAAGAACAAATCAGCTGATTCAATCACTTTAATAAAAAATTATCTATTATTTTTAAATAATTAGATTTTAATTAAATTAAATTAAAATTGATAGAAAACTGATAAAATCAAGAAAATTAATTGAATTCTTGGATTAAACTGGATTTTATATATAAAAAAATAAAGATTATTTTTTTATAAAAAAATATAATATATTTTAGTTTTTTTATCTCATATTAATTATATTATTTTTAAATGATAATTATTTCATTATCTTTTTATTTTATTTATATCAATAACATTTATTATAATATAAATTAATTATGATGATAATATATTTTTTAAATGTTATTAATAATTTATTTATTATATATATGTTATAAAAATATTATTTTTATTAAATCGGTTAAACTCATATTATTTGATTTTTATTTTTTTTATAATTAATTTTCACAATCAAATTACAAATATTTTTTTAAAATTATATTTTAACATATATTCATGAATTTATTTTGAATAATAATATAATTTAGTTAATATTTAAATAAAATTATTTGTAATATTTTTAAAAATATTTTAAATTAAGTGATAAATATTTTATACATTTTAAATAGTTTGTTTAATTAATCAGATAATATTTGTTTAAGATAAACATATTTAATTTAATAAATAATTAACTTTTGATTTGTTTTTCATATTTAATCATACTGGGGCGAAGTTCTCATGCTCAATTATTTTTCATATTAATCAATACATTATTGGATGATATTCATATTATTTATAATTTTTAATTTATTTAAATATACAATTCGTATTTTGTTTAGATTTAGACAATATTGTATTATTATTAAAAATAAATTTTTAAATTTATTAAGTATAAATCTTTTAAACAAATTTAATTAGTTTTTTACTTTGCATAATTTGTGAGGAAATATTTCAAAAAGGGAAAAAAATGAAGTGTAAGTGAAGAAAACTACAATGATAAAAGAGATAAAAATTTAAAAAAATATAATAAAATATAATAAATTATCTAATTTTAAATTATTGTGTGCATATATAAGATGTTACACAAGATGCTATATAAACTTCTCTTGAAACAACTGATTAAAAAAGTATTCCATTGGTTTAGAATCATTTATACAGCTTCTCTCTTTGATTAAGGATAATTAGTTTTATTTTATTTTTATCCAATAAAAAGAGAAAATAATTTTTTTTCTTTTATAAATCAAACACAAAAGAAAAGTAAAAAAATTAAACTCATAAACTTTATTTAAGTTCCTTAAACTATAAGGTTGTACTATGGGGAGGGTACAAGTTAAAGGTTACTTCTTAACTTATCAACATTAGTTTTCTTAATTCTCATAACCTGGTAGTCAGCATATCCTATTTATTTTGGTGTCATTTTGTATGTTGTTAATTTATTTTTAGGGAGAGCTAGAGGTGAGTGTTTGTACGTTATAGCAATTATTTGTACTAATTCATTTGTTGAAACATCTACTATTCATAAATCAATAAAAAATTGTATGTTTCTATACAGAAATACACAATGACATTATATTTACATTTTCTGAACCTTGGAAGGAAAATGAAACATTACCAAACCTAAATTGTTTGCTTCCTAAGATACATAAGTGTTCTTCACAAGATAAACCCCGACAATAAGAAAGATACCACATAACTTATTTTCATTGTATGAAGACAAAGACTCACCCACTAGTGTTAAACAGAGGTTATGTGTATCATTTGTTAAACATCTGTTTCAAAATAATTCAAAGTTAGATGAATTTGGCTAAAGTGGGATTAACCATTATTGGCTGTCAAAAATATGATGAAATAGACAATACATTTTCTTAAAAATGGAAAATAAATATATAAAAAATATCACTAATACACTATTGATCCAAATTTATGATAATTTTTTTGATAATAAATTATAGCATGCAAAAACTAAAAGTATTAAACAGAATCTGCCATGATCTTATATATGGCTTCTTGAAAGTTATGAACTATATGCAATGTGAAAAAAAAAAAATGTTGTAGTTTAGAAATAGAATGTTCAAAATTATGAGCATTACATGATAAAGTAGTACATAGAAGTTATTGTGACTTAGTCATAAACTAGAACAACACGTCATGGAAAACAAATTCAAATTTGCTGAAAAAAAAAATTTAAAATTAGAGAAGGAGAGAGAAGTAGAATGAAACTTCAAGTAAAAGATAACCTATAATTTAAATGTATACAAGTAGTTTTCTACTCCAAATACAAAACAAAACATACACTTGTTTTTAAAGAAAAAGAAAAAAGAGAGAAAAAAAAAGGGAAATATGGGTGATAAGGACGTGAGATGAATGGATATAACTTTTCCTTTCTATGTTAAGTGAATCAGCTAACTTGTGATAGAATCTATATATCTCTAATAACAAGGTGCTAACAATGACATTTGCAAGAAATTTAATCCTTTTTTTTTATTTTGAAATACTTTTTAAAATAAATAAATTAATTAATTAACCAATTTTTGTAAAACGTAGTACCTTTTTTCCTAAATATTACTATAGTGCGTGGTAAACTAAACTTTAGATTAATGTTATCATTCATCAACTATAAACTCTGTCTAAAATAAAACCACAATACATAGTGAAAAAAAAATTATATATAAGGAAAAATTCACTTACTTTAAAAATAGAAAATAACTTTTCATTTCATTATGTTTAATAAAATAATTTAAATTGGTAACTCAAATTAATTATTATTAAAAAAATAAATGAATATATATATATATATATATATATATATATAGATAGATAAATATGAATGTACAAACATTTTTAGTTAATGTGTTTTAACTTTTATATATTATAAAAATTGCAGGACCAACATTCAATATCTATGTTTTTTTTTTAATTTAAATCACATCATAACTTTAAAAAAGCTACATCATTAAAAAAATACTTAGCATATGTATTTTTAATTTTTATCATCCATGCTTACATTATTTATTTATCAAGTTTTCATCATGCAAGAAATATTATATATTATAGAAATATTATATATTATAAAAATAGCAGGACCAACATTTAATATCTATGTATTTTTAATTTTTATCAACATTATTTATTATAAATTAATCTAATTATGATTAAATTAAATTATTAAATAAAAAATATTTAATTTTTTAATTAGGTGAATAATTAATTTATTAGAATATATTTAAAATTAAGTAATTATTATATAATTTTAAATATTTAATTTTTTTAATTTAATGTTAATTTTTAAAAATATAAATATTTATCGAGTAATTAATTATTCTACTTCGTGCAAACATATTCCTTTCTCCATAACTCACCTCTACCTTCTCTCCTACATATCAGGATCTTTTTCTTCCCCGATCAAGAATCTGAGGCCACCGTTGTGCTCACGGCGGAGAACAGCAGAAGACCCACCGATTAGAATTTCCTTTCGGTAAGTTTGAATTTTAGAGTTTTTACAAGTTAAAATTTGGGGTTTTGAGAATTTAAGGAATTATTTGTGGAATTAAAAGTTTCCTCTTACTCTATCACTCTCCAATTTCATGTTCTCGGGTTTAATTTTGTTTATTACTTCAATTTCATTTTTAGTATTTTCCAAATTGGGGGAGAACGGTACCTCTTAGGTGTTTTGGCGTTCCTAAGGCTTTATTGGAATTAGATTGACGTGTAACATCACCCACAGGTAAGGGAAACTTCTTTGATTTTTACTGACTGTATTGTATTGATAAAAAATTTAATAAAGTGAGTGATGAATATGCTTGTGATATATATACGTGTTATATGTGATATGAGAGTATGCTTGTGATATATATACGTGCTATATGTGATATGAGAGTATGTTTGTGATATATATACGTGCTATAAGTGATATGATATTGTGAGCACTTGTGGAAACCTTGCAGTGTAAACTGTTTTGAAATAGATATCCTTGTATCATTGAATTTCTAAATTATATGGTTGGTTTGTGTGGTTTGAAGGAGAAGGGATGTACCGTTTAAGTGAATTATGATTGCATAGTAGTTAAGAATTTTAAATGTTGGACTGGACATTGTGAACTGCATGATGTTGGTTTGATTCTAGAAACCCTGAGTAGAATAGTGTGTATGAAATAGTTGTTGAATGATAGATTTGATGTACTGTGTAGAATAATGTGTATGAAATTATGGATAGGCGTAATAGGGTATCCAAACTTCCAAGATGTTCCTAGTCATATAGACGAAGACATCTGTGATGAGAAGTCGATGAAGACACAACATAGTGTCAATCCTATGCATGTGTTGCTCTAATGAGAGGTTGAGAAAAAAAATGATATTATAGACCTGGGACCATGAAATTTTAAGGGTCTGGGACCCCAAATATTACTCATCAGGTGCTTACCTTAGTGGTGTGAATTTCATATAGTTTTTCGGAAAGCATCAGTCTTGTTGTGTGTTGTGATTGTAAAATGCTAAACTCTCCGGTGAGTCTAATTTTAGGATGTTTATGAATGAATAAATGTGGTTTGTAATATTACATTGTTCTACATATTTAATCAAATGGTAGCTTACCCTTGCTTTTGTTGCGTGCTTGATCTTTTGGGATCCTGCTATGATCGTGTTATACACGTGAGCAAATTCCAAATCTTTTACAGTGTAAGACTCAGTGATTTGAGAAATGGAGTAGAAATCTCCTAAATTTGAAGGAGTTATTTGGTGTTGTGTAATTATGTGTAAAACATTTGTGTAATAAGGACTTTTGATGTGTGATGTTTTCTTTTCTTTTCTTGTTTTTTTTTTCAACTATTATGGATATGTAAACTGAACTATTATACCTCTCATAAGTAAAAAAATTATTTTCTTTCTTCATTTAGTAAAAATTTTAAGTAGAATTTGCGGATTGTTACAGATATAGCCATCGATAACTAATTGTTTATTTACCAAAATTATTAATTTACCGACGAATATATCTGTAGGTAATTAATTGTTTATTTACATGGAGATATATCAATCGGTAAGTGATTGTTTATTTACCAATAAATTTATTAACGGATATATTTATCGATAATTAATTATTTATTTATCGATGAATTTCTTGACGGATATATATATATATATATATATATATATATATATATATATATATATATATATATATATCGATAATTAATTGTTTATTTACTTACCAATCATAACTTAAATTCGTTGATAATTTCTGTTAATAATCAATATTTTTTAATGATTACATATGTAAATATCTATCGATAATTAATAATTTTCTTGAGTCAAATATCACAAAATTATAATTACCATATTAATCCTACACTATAAATTTTGGACAGAGATTTTTTTTATTATTTATTTGATTAGAGAAAGAAGATTCAGAAAGCTTGTGTTCACCACATAAAACTAGCAGGTATTTCGGCATTATTATTATTGATTAAATAACAATATGAATTGGTGGAGATGGCAATAAACACGTGTAAACTCTGCGGCTTTCCTATTATGGAGGCTTAGGCTAAATATATGTAAATACGTAACAATGAAATACGTTACTTTTTCTATTTTCAAACCGCTCTTTATTGTCAGACATTTCTTCGCGTTATTATTATTTTTTTTTCATCACACCCAATTGGTTCCAAAATTTGTACACAATGAAGCTAATTTAGACTATGTGAATCGAACATGTAGATAAATAGTTGGTGATTGTTAAATAACATCAATTTTGTCTCCAAATTTAGTTTCATTATAAATGATCAAAATAATGTTTGCCTTTAGTTTATAAAAAAAATATATTACAATGCTTAATATCAAGTTCTTTTAGGAGTACAAATATTTAAACATCTTAATTTATGTTAGGCAAATTTATTTTTCAAAACTAAATTTGGTCTAAAAATTTCTAACGATCGCATCTCACGATACACACTTAGATAGAAGAGAGTTTTAAGTTATCGTAATATGTGCCTTATTTCCCGTTAAGGAGGGAGTTAACTCTTTCTTTCTGAAGGAACGACGAAGTTAACTTAAAGATTAAAGAATTGTGTGCTTATTCGTGGAATAATACTTATTATATGTGAATTAGGTTAAACACATAAAGTTTTGAATTTAATGCAATGTATTCTGTATTAAAGGACACCGAACAACAAAACTACGTTGAAGAACAAGATTCTTTCTTGCATCCTTGTATGTTACAACATATTTGACATTTCTCACCAATTAAAAGCAAAACTATGGAACAGGTAACTCATACTATGTTATGTGGAGATAGGTAATGGAAAAGCACAAGGCATGTCAGTAACCTAAAAAAATAAGTACACAATATTTCAAAAGTGGGTCCTGTGTCCTCCATCCAAACCTAATTGAAGAGAGAAACCTATCTCCAAAAATGACAAGCCATACGTTATAATTTCCAGCCTCAAATTTAGAAGAGCACTGTCAGGTAAACAACTCTGTTTTACTTCTATTAATATTCTATTAGTTATCCTCTGAATCTCTTAATGATTAAAATTTGACATAGATTCAAAAACAATTATTGTTAATTAATATAAATACGCATTTTTTTAATTAGAAATATACTTTACCTCTCACCAGTCAACTTCAACCTATAATTTCATGTTCAGAATTAAAAAAAAAAAACTTGAATACCCAAATTACTTGTGCTTAGAATTTTTGGTAATATAGATATTTTAAAAAAATAGATAGTATTTAATATTTTTAAATTGGTAAAATTTACTCTCTCTCTCTCTCTCTCTCTCTCTATATATATATATATATATATATATATATATATATTAAAAAAAGAAAAATAAAAACATATAGTTGCATGCGTGTTTTATTTATTTGTATAAAAAATTGTGTTGTGAGAATCATTTGTGATAATGTCTATTGGGCATGGCAACTTAACTGAATTATTTATTGATTGTTAGAGAAAGTGATTATTGATTAATTTTGCATATTATTATTATTATTGATGGTGTTGGTAGGTTTCACTCAGGTACCGACACATGGCACACGAGTGAGGCGAAAACTTGGAATTGGAAGTGGGAAGGTGGGTCCTACTCTTCTCTCATATATGACGTGTTTTCATTGTTTGACCACTCTAAAGTCTAAAAAACTCCGACCGTGGCATTCCTGAACTTAACCAGCCTCCACCACCATCACCATTCAGATTCAGACTCTTCTTCTCTTATAAAAAGAAATGTTTAAATAAATTGAGTGTGTTAGAGGTTCACCAAACATAGGGTAGGCATTTAGGGTTATAAAATTATTCTCTAACTCAATTATTTTATTCGTTAATAATGAGATTTCTTCAAACTCATTTGTTTACAACTTTTTCAGTTTTGATGATGAGATGGAGACTAATTTTGTTTATAACATTTTGAGATATTATTGAAAAAAAAAAAAAGAATTCACACACATAGTTTTAGTGAACAGAGTTAAATTATTTTATGAAAAAATGAACCTTACTAAAAAAAATGAAATAATGATTTAGTTAAGATCAGACATAAGAACAACAAAAGTAGCAAGGCTGGGTTGTCATGTTGTGGGTGGGAAGCTTTGGATGGTCACCAAACGGTGAAGGCAATGGATGTATAAGGCTTCCATGTTCCAGTTCCATTCAGAAAATTCACGAATCTTTGTCTCACTATTAGCATTATTATTTTACTATATTTCCCCCTGTTTCAGACCACGTTCTGCCAATTTTTCTTGTCCCCTTCCCACTCAGCAAACAATAATAAAAAAATTATACCAATGTTGTCGGAAGCAGAGGTTGGATTAATTCTAATTAAATTTTATTTTTTATTTTTAATATAATAGTATATTATATAACATAATAATCCATATAATTTTATACAATTTAAATATAACTAAAAATGTAATAAGTTATGTTAGATAACAAAAACAAATTATATATATAATTAAATCCCTACAAATTAAAATACCTTTTTAGTCGCTCAAAATAAATAAATAAATAAATAAATAATTTTAATCCCTAATCGGTGGAGAGATCAAATCTTAAATAAGCCTCAAAACTTAAATCTTAACAAATTCATATTTTTTCCTGAATTTAGGGTTTAGGATCTTAAAAAATTATAATATATTTATTTTGGAAAACTAAAATAATTTTTTTTAATTTGAAGGATTAAAACGGAATTAGTTGAAGAAACTATCTAGCTATTGGATATGGCGTAGGAGGAATGAAAACGTTTGGGTCGACGATTGAGTGACGGTACCTGCCTTCTCAGACCATTTCGACCATCAATTTAGGATGGGAAAAGACATCGTTGAAATGCCTCAAAATTTATTTGGGTTCATGAGACAAGTTCGGGTATTTTGTGTCTGCAAAAACAGGTTTGGCAGCAGGTATACCAACACCACCGGAAACATACCCTTCTCACATGCCCTTATTCAATTCCGCAAATTCAAAACCTTTTTTCATTGGAAAATCCAGAATCATAATTACTGCTTAATATACCACTTTTCTTTCTTAGCGCATTATAGTAGAACCCCACGTGCTTTCAATTATTTAAACTGTGTTCAGATGTGAAAATTTAATTATAATTTCAATGATTTTTTGTTTAACAACCTTATTAAAAATTAATTTCAAGATTTATTTAGATACAATGAAAACAAAAATTATAAGACTGAAAAAAATGGGTTAAAAAATAAAAATAAACTAATTATAAACATTTTCAAAAATGTTAACATAAATTAGAGTTATTTACACATTTTATAACAAAGTATTTACTTGTTTTATAAAGAAATTTGTCTACACTAAATAATTATTTTGTTAAATAAGTTAAATTAAACCCTCGATTTTCAAAATTTATTTTGAATTTTGAAATAAACCTATTATTATTATTATTGATAGATAAGTTAAAGCAGAGGAAGATCATGAGAAAAAATTAATCTAATTGATTAGAGGGTTGTCCCTTAACAACTAAAGGAGGTTGTCCTCCTGTGGGTTTCCCGTCTTCTTCAGTCCTTCAAACCACACTATTCGCTTTCAGTAACCTACCCGATACCATATCTTAATAATAATAATAATAATTATATTATTATTATTATTATTATTTATTAAATACAGCTCTATGTCTCTTTAATAATATAATAAAGTTCCCATAAATAATAAATTCACATATATTAATTTTCCCAGCAAGTTTCTAGTTATATCACCTAAATAAGTTTCAGACTTTAAGCAATCATTTCTTTCAGTAACCTACCCGATACCATATCTTAATAATAATAATAATAATTATATTATTATTATTATTATTATTATTTATTAAATAATGTCTCTTTAATAATATAATAAAGTTCCCATAAATAATAAATTCACATATATTAATTTACAGCCCTCCACGATTAACTTATATCTAATTAAACCTTAAAAAGTGAAACTAAAAGAGTTATTCTTTATTTTGTTATTTTTATTTTTGTTAATAATTATTTACTCAATACTTTATATTAAATATTTTACATTTTCTTATAAGATGTGCTATTATTATTTATTAAATACAGCTCTATGCCTCTTTAGTTTTAATCTCTTTAATTATAGGATAAAATTACCTTAAATTATAAATTTGCATAAGTTAATTTACTGCTCTTATATGAATACATAGCCTTCCATTATAAGATAACTTGAATTAAATATTGAAACTAATTCTATATTTGTTTTAGCTAATTTATTATTTATTGGAATTGATTAATATGATTTTAATTCAAGGAGTTTCATTATTCCAATAATTTGTCCTATTATCATTTTACCTGTCACAAATTTATTTTATTTTATTTTTTACATTAATGAACTTTTCTTTAATTATTATTTGAATATTTTAATTATCAAGTTTTTTCAAATATATATTTTTAATTTTATATCCTTATTTTTATTCTCTAGACCAAATAAAAACTTCAAGGGTTATCTTATTTACATTAATCTAACCTTTAAAAAATGATTTATTTTTAGTTACTATTTTCAAAGGAGAGAAAAAGAAATTAAGGATAAAGAGTATTTTTCTCTTTTGAAGTACTCTTAAATATTTTGATTTGATTTTTTTTTTTCTTGTAGAAGCTACTAAACCGAAGAACAAAAGATTATTGTTGTGTGACTCAGCGCTGTTTTAATATTTTTTTTTTTTTCACCTTCTCCCACTCTGCACTCTGCAGTAGCAGGCAGCAGCATTACTTTAAATCCAATTATTTATACTCACAACCATGCCTCCTTTTCATTTCTACATCCTTTCAATATTCTCCCCCACCCCACAAGCAAAGAACCCTTAATCTTTTTCAATTCAATTTTTTATTTTTCATTGCTTCCTCTTTTCTCCCTCTTTTTCTTTCTCTCTACCCCCATTTTGCTTTCTGGGTTTCTGTGCTTTTTGTTGGGATCTACTTCATAATGGGTTTATCCCAAGGCCCCTGCACTGATTCCAGGGACCTTTCCAATATCCCAACCTCTTCCCCCTTAGTTGTAGATCACTACTGTGACTACAACAAGCTCAAATTCAGAAGCTTTCTCAGAAAAATGTTCTTGGAATTCGGTCTTGCCTGTGTGGCCAACCCTGCCCGGCGCCGGAGGAGTTCCGAGAGGGGCCAGAGCGACGGCAAGAAGACGAATTTGGAGCACAACAAGGCGTGGTTGCTCGCGGAGTCTGGAGGTTGTGGAGCAGAGTTGTCCAATGCTGACCCTCAATCGGTTCACTCCTCTTTCAGGTTCAGTTTCTGTTCTCAGGTTGAGTTGGAGTCCCTCAACATGAGTTCTTCCAGTGCTGCAACCGTTTTAATGGTGAATTTGGACAATGGGGTGAGTGAATCCCGCGCCAAGGAAATCAAATGGAGGAGAATGGAGTCCCTGGAGAAGAGCATTTCCCCTGTGGCTCACACCTTGATCAGGTTCAGCTATGGTGAAATTCTCTCTGCTACTAGAAATTTCTCCAAGGGTAAGTATCTTTCTTTCTTTCTTTTATTTTGGTTAAAAAAAACACTTTTTCCTTGTAAAAAGTACTTAAATTTGGTTTTTAATGTCTGTATGTCTCAAAATAGCTAGATTGTGGTGGAAAAAGTGTTAATTTTTGGGACTTAAGTTTGAGTATTACAAAAAAACAGAGAGAGGATAACTATTTCTCTTAAAAGTCAAGACTAGAATCGAAATTGGCGAATTTTTTCATGTATTTAAAATCATTATTAACCCTTTTTTTTTTTTTTTTTTTTATGTTTTGAGTGTTTGTTATTGTTTTATATGAAAGTTGATTTATTTGTGTGAGATCGTGATTTGTTTCTTTATTATGATGTGTGTAGGGAGGGTGTTGGGGAGAGGGGCATTGAGCTGTGTGTTTAGGGGGAGAGTTGGGCTTTTGAGGACTGCTGTGGCAATCAAACGGTTGGACAAGGAAGACAAGGAATCTGCCAAGGCCTTCTGTAGAGAATTGATGATTGCCAGTTCTCTTCACAGTTCAAATGTTGTTCCCCTTGTGGGGTTTTGTATTGATCCTGAGGAGGGTTTGTTTTTGGTGTACAAATATGTCTCAGGGGGCAGTCTGGAGCGCCACTTGCATGGTATTCATTTCTCAGAATTTACCTGCTTTTTCTTTTATGAGGTTTTGAATTGGTTAATTTCACTGATTCTAGCATATCTGTTTGGCAGGAAGAAAGAAGGTTAGTTCACCTCTTCCATGGTCTGTGAGGTACAAAGTTGCAATTGGGATTGCTGAAGCTGTGGCTTATCTGCATAGTGGAACTGAAAGATGTGTTGTGCACAGAGACATTAAGCCCTCAAACATTCTGCTTTCTTCAAGGAAGACTCCCAAGGTGATATACTTTCTAGTGAATCAGCTGTAGAGTTGTGGTTATGTAATGTGGAATAAGTCTCCTACGGGGCCCATGCATGTCATTCTGATTTTTTCTGTTAAATTATAGCTATGTGATTTTGGATTAGCTACATGGACCTCTGCACCTTCAGTTCCTTTCCTTTGCAAAACCGTAAAAGGAACATTCGGGTACAAACTTAAGCCTTTTATGTTGATTCTGCATAATATTAGTCTGTGTGTATAATTCTTTTCATGTTATGATTAGCTTAAATTAAAACTTCTATGCCTCTGCTTTCCCTACAGATATCTGGCTCCTGAGTATTTCCAACATGGGAAAGTATCGGATAAGACTGATGTATATGCTTTTGGAGTGGTTTTACTGGAACTCATTACTGGTCGGAAGCCAATTGAGGCAAGAAGACCTTCAGGAGAAGAAAACTTGGTCTTATGGGTGAGTTATTGCATTAATTCTTGCCAAGTTGCTATATTTTTTTATGATATCATAATGGTTGAATTGATTCCTTTTGTGAATATATGATTGATAATAAAAAAAATCTTCTTTAGCTTAATCTAATCGTTTTTATGGTACATCGAGCCATAAATGAATTTCACCTTAGTTTTTTGTTTTTAGATAACAGGACATCGTGTACCTAGCTGTATACTCCTATTGCAAAACAAAAATTACTTGCACATTGTTTGTTTTATCTGCTTCTTTAATCAAACTTATTTGACGTAGATGAAAACTGTAAAGCATGGAAGTTAGATTTGTATGCATCTTAATTGTTTAGATAGATACTTAAATTGATATCTTCTTCTCGGTGGATAAATGGAATTTGGGGGTTTATTTATATGCATTAAAGTATCCACACTGAATTATATGTTTTCCTTTATAGTAGAAAACATCCACCGAAGTTTCGCATTACGACCACATAAATTTGTGCTGTTAATTACAGTACTGCATTTAAGATCAGTAACATGAAATTGACATGGTTTTGTTAACATATGATTAATACGACATTCTTGCAGGCTAAACCTTTTCTACAGAAAGGGAAAGGTGCCATTGAAGAATTGCTTGATCCTCAACTCAAGTGCAGTCTGAGATTCTCAAATCAAATGGGTAGAATGATTGAAGCAGCAGCTGCCTGTGTCACAAATGAAGAATCTCGGAGACCTGGCATACGTGAGATTATTGCAATACTGAAGGGTGAAGAAGAGCCTCTTTTGTCTAAAAGAAAGAAATCCAGTTTTCTTGGGAATGGATGCGTGATTGATTGTTATTCCCAGTTACAACAAACAAATAATGAGATGAAAAGTCACTTGGCTTTAGCAATGCTAGGAGTTGCAGAGTTTGAGGATGATGACTATCTCTACGGTCGATAGAACATGTTACCTTTAATAACCTTTTACTTTTTGCTGTGATTGTGACTGAGAGTGCTAAAGATTAGAAGTGAGCGGGTTGAAATTGTAAATAGAAATAGGAGCTTAGATAAAGATTGTGTGTAGATATCTTCCTTTCCCTTTCCCTTTTCACAAAGGGTCACCTAATAGATTTTCATTCATGTTTGTGAATCATGTTCAATTCATGTTGGTAAATTTCATGATTTTTAATTTTATCTCACCCTTTCAATGCAGGTGGTTATTTAGGTTCTCTAACATATTTTAGTTATTAGCAAAACTGATAGATATTCTACTGTCATAGGTTCTGTAACATATTTTAGTTATCAGTTAGTTTGACTGGTAGATATTCTACACCAATATAACAGTGATACAAAAGAACAAAACTTTTTTTTTTTTTCGTGGGATGGGGTAAATAGCCTTCATTTCAATGAAGGGGGTAAGGGTGTAGAGTCGCCATTTTGAGAACACCTTTATTCTACTTCGCCCTCACCTAATTCATCATGCCTCAAAACAAATAAAAAGAGACACAAGGAATACATTAAGATAGATGAAGATGGACACGTAATGTATAAAGTAAAGATGCTTGTTAATCAATAAATTCTTTTTTAGCATATGATTAAATTTATTTGTTTTATTTTCTATTATGCATGGCTTCATAATTGATTTTGTATTTTGTAGAAGTTCAATAGTTATGTCAACATCAAAAAGGAAAAAATAAAAATAAAAAATTGTCGTGTCTTGTTACAACCTTAAGAATTAAGAGATTGATTTACATAACTTCTTGTATTTAGTATTGAAGCAGGACCCTATTGAGAATAGAGCATATCAACTGCCTCTAACTTAATGCCAAGGACCTTGCTTTATAATAATGAACATGTGAAAAGCAAACTCATTAAGTTTATCGCAAGACATGACTATACAACAACAAAGCATTAGGCCACACAACTGCAAAAACTAAACCCCAAAGAGGCCAACATCACGAACCTACCATCGTTACATCGTATATATTAGTGTCGAACACACATTGACAATGATTGTGTTGTAAATATTGTTGAATTATGAGGAAAGAACTTAAAAAATCTTGGCTACATCCCTCACAAGACCACAGTTGGCTCGTGCAAAATCTGTAAACTCTTCATGTGAAATGAAGCCATCACCATCTGTGTCAATTTCATCCATCATATGTTGCACCTCATCTGGGGTCACTGATCCAAGTGCTTTAAGGGCTTCACCAAGCTCTTGTGAAGAGATTCGGCCATCACCATTGGAATCAAAATGCTTGAAAATGCGTTCCCTATCAGCTACATCTTGTGGATCATCAGCCATTGTGGAATTTTTGTATTGTACGTATAAGAATGAGTTTCTTCTGGTTTTGGTGGTACACGTAAAATGGAGATTTGAGAGGTTAAAGGCCTAAGAGTTTGGCTTTTAAACAACTTGGATAAGGTTATGCCATCTTTAGTAGATGGGTTTTACTTATTATTGCTAATTAGGCCTAATTACCGCGATAACATGATTAACGACTGGTTTACCAAACTTGGCCAAATTCTTTTTTTTTTCCAATACGAATGGAAGTACATGATCCTTAAGAGAATGGCTCAAAGTGTTTTGCTAAATTGAGTCACTTATGAGATGTCAGAGAGTCCTACAAGCATTCCCCCTCTTTAAGGGATTTGCTTTATCCTTTATACCCGAAATAACGTCATGTTAACTATAATTAGCAAAAGAAGAATGAGTTTTCAAACCTTGGTTTGACTAACCATTATGGCGGTTATATCTAACATTGTAAAATCTATTTATTGACCTTTATTTATGTAAATTCCTCCAAAGTTTCTTCCAAAGAAGGATATGAAAATTGGCGTTGTGTTTTTTGTTTGATAAAATCAAATATAAAACTTGCACTCTAATAATAATATACTTTCATGATAAATAAGTAAACAATTCTCACTTTATTTATCGTCCACTCAAACCCATTGTTCGAGCAGAACAGAACAACAAGGAATAAAGAGCCTGAAAGGTGGCAAAGTGTTAAAAAAGTGGAAAAATGGAACTCAAATTTCATTGATTCGGCAATTTTGATTAAATGGTTAACATGTCATTTGCTATTAGACAAAAATTTCCATACCCAGAAATCATAAATACTGCTAATGACGACGGGGAATGATTAAATATTTTATTCATAAAAAATACTGTTAAAAGAATTTATATTAATTTCTATAAAAAGTATTTTTTTTATTAAAATATTTAATTCATTTCTTTATTAAATGGTATAATTAACTTTTTAAAATTATTTTAACTTGTAAATTGATATTATTTTTATTAAATTTTTGGTAAAAAAATCATTATCTGAAAACATAGTTTCCTAATAATATTATTTTATATGAGGCAAATTAACATGGTAACCCCATTTTTCCAAATTTAAAATTAAAAAAGAAAAAACTAATGTTTATCTTCTATATTGGATTATCTTAACTATATTTCAAAATATAAAATGTTTTATATTAAAAAAATACAATTTTTTTTTATCAATTATATTTTTTTAATTATATTTATTAAGGTGAAAATTTTTTTTTTAAAGAATATTTTAGTTAGAAAAAATATTAAAATATTAATAAATTTATTAAAAATAATAAAAATTAAATTAAATGGTTTATATTTTGAAGACAGAGGGATAATAATCTACTAGTGCACCACCTAAATTTTTTTTTTACCAGGTGAAAATGCATCACAAATGATTATTCATTGATTAAAAAAAATTTAAAACTTAAATATTCATTTATATGATTCGATAAAAATAATGAATTTATTAATTTAATTACATAAAATTTAGAATAAATAATAATAATAATCTAAAAAAATTGTTAAAATACTATTTAAATAATTATTTAATTGAATATAAAATACAACTTTTTAAAATTAGTTGATTAAAACAATAATTTTAAATAGGATTTTTGAATTAGTTTAAATATATATTGAAAAGTTAACTCATAAACATATTAAATTATATATATATATATATATATATATATATAACAATTATAATTAACTGATATTAACAATGAAAAAGGACATTAAAAATGCAAAAACAAATTAATAAAAAGTGATATTTAAAATGTAAAACATAATAATAAAAATGATATAAAACACGAAAATAAATACTAAAAAATTGAAACGACCAAATTAAAAAAAATATTTTCTTTTTTATAACCAGAGTTGTGCAATATATTTATTAGAATATTTTTTTATTTTCAATGTTATTTTAATATATGATGAATTTATTCAATTAGTGTAACTCATAATATCTTAAATCTTAAATGTGTATAGTCTCAAATATAGTAAATGGAAAAATCTATATATTAAAAAAATTAAAATTTGTGACTTGTATATTGTTATACCTACAAGCCAAAAAAAAAAGAAAGGAAAGACAACCTCATTCCAGTTATACATTTTAAAAGCGACATATTTTTATTAATATGTTTGTAGAAGGACCCTAATTTAGTGAAGTCGTAATCAACAATGAAGTAGATTGTGCAAAATGTTTGTTGATAATTTTAAGCAGAATATGCGACAAAATGAAGAGTGTAATTATTGTACAGCTATTGTGATAATGTTGTTGTTGCCACAGAATCAGCGGCACCAGTGTTAAACCCCTTGACTTCACTGCAACACAAAACTAGACATGTTTCAAAACATTATTATCCAAGAATGCTACATGTGACTAACCTCATAATCAAATTAATAGCGATGAAATCAATACTTTAAAAAAAATATTCTTAAATAAAATGTTGTGGTGAGGTATTTTATTTTGCAACTTCAAGATTTTCAGACGTGTGTGTCGAGGGATAACAACACATTGTCATGACGCATCATTAGATCATTTCATTTCTTTGTAGATCATTTTTAATATATAATTATGTGTCTTTTTTTCTTTGATGTCATGTGTTAAGATCATTTTCCCTCTTTAATTAATTATTTAATTACAAACATTTTTATTAATCTATTTAATTAATATTTCATTTTCTTCCATCAATATTAAATACAATTAGATATAAGAAAACTATTATTTTTTATCAAAATATATAAATTTATCTATTGGTTTATTTAATACTTGAAAAAAAAATATTTAAAAGAAAAAGTAAATAAATATAAAATCTTTAAAAAATATATAAAAACATATATACAACTAAGAGGATTTAAAAATGATTTTTTTTATATTTATTTTTTTATTTTAAAATTAAATCTAATGATATATTTACTGGGAAATAAGATCAAATCTAAAAATAATTATCTATTTTAAATATGAGTTCAATCAAATTATCTATCAATTTATTTATCTAATTATATATTTAAATTATTATTGATTTATTCATCTATCTATATATTTATTTAATTATTTATCTATCCAAATATTTATTTTACTATTTAATAACTATTTTTCTATTTCATTCATTGAACTAGATTAAGAATGACAATTAAACCCGTATTCGTAAGAATTGATTCGTCCCCGTCTCAAGTTTGACGGAAAAACCGAGTTGGTCGAGGGAGTGGGGACGAGTTCGATTTTTCTCGCTTTAAAAAGTGAGGGGCGAGGGCGGGAGACGGGGATAGGTAATGCAATCCGCATCTTGATCTCATCCCCGTCCCTATTCCGATTTTATATTTAAATTTAAAATATTAATATTTTAAAGGTATTTCATTTTCTTTTTTTATATATTTTACTATTTTTACTTTTCTTTTATCAATTTTTTAATTTTTTTGTCTTTTTTAATTTTATATCAATTAATTTATTATATATTTTTTTCTTATCTTTCAGTTTTTCACATTTCGTTAATCTCTCCAATCATTTTTTTTTCAATTTTTTTAACCAATTTAATGAACACAAAGTTAATTTTTTTCTTCTATATCTTTTTCTAAATATTTTACATAAATATTAGTAGTAACTAATATTATTTTATTTATAATTTATATTTATTAGGTTTTAATATGTCATATTTTTTTAATCTTATTATTCTTATTTGTCATATATCAAATTTTATCTTAATAAAATAATTATATTTTAAAGAATTAAAAAAAATGAATAATTTTAATTTTTATTATTTCAAACTAATTAAATAAGAATTAATTTATTAAATATTTTCTTCTTATTATTATTATTATAAACATAATTGTGATAAAATATTAGTACCGAATGATAAACATATGATCATCAATTAAGAAGAAAAATTGTTTTTTACTGAAAAATAAAAGAAAATAAAAAATATTACAAGAGATAAGATAATAAAAAAGATAACATAATCACAATTAATTGAAATTTTTCGAACTAAAAATTAAAATATAAGAATTCATAATTCTCCACGATAACTTAAAGAGAACTTTTCTGATTTCAAATGAATTTATAAACTGATTATTTTTCTCTTCTAAATGAAGTGTTCCACATCTTTGGTAAAGTTTGTTTCTTCAATAGAGGAAAAGAGTAGGGCGAAGACAGATGCATCTGTCATAGAAAGTCCATTAATTGGTTGGCGCCAAATGAATAAACATTTGATGAGTACGGTCACTTTTATCACATATGATGGCATGTGATGTGTGAGTATGTGGACCATTTATTTCTCTTATATCACTATGTCACCATGTGACCATGCATTATCACCGTCTATATGTCCAAAATTATTTTTACAAAAATCTTTTTACTTCAAATTCATTTTAAAAAACAGTTTTACTTTTTTCTTTTCATTTCAATAGTACGTTAGTGAAAAATTAAGATAAAAGTTCTTTTAAATTGTTCCCACTTAAAATCAATTTTATATATTTAAAAAATGTATTAAAATTACCCTTTTGACTGATTATTCTACATAACTCAATATTGACAAAAAAAACACACTAAAAAATAACGTATGACGATGACAGGTTTGATTCCACTGGCAGAAATAAGGGCGTTTGCAATCTAGGAACAATTTTCAGACACAAGTAATGTTGTGTTTCAACTTTTGGAAATATTTTTCTAAAAAAATATTGTCCCGTTGCTTGATTTTATTTTATTTTTAAATATTTTAAAGAACATGTTTTACCAAAAAACTAAAGTAAAATAAAAAATCTTTGGAACAAGTGATTAAAAGTGGATCTGAACTCCACTGTTATGCAAAAAGAATTAACTTTTCACTTCGTTTTTTGAATTTATTAATTTTGTTATCTCGACCACTATCGGAAACTGCTTGTTACATGAAAATCCTTAACAATTAGATTATCTGACATAATTTACTTTTTATTATTATGTCACATTCAAAAAAGCTAAAAAAGAAATTTTTAATATGTTACTACCATAAAGTGTAAAGTTACATTTCTATTAAAAAAATAATAAAAAATTAGTACAATATCAAAACCACACCATTATAATAGTTAAAAGGACTTCATTTACATGATTAGAAAGTACAGAATGAAAATTGCAGCATTATTATGTTTAAAAACAAAAGGTGCAAATAATTAATCGGAATAAAAGTGCATATAAATTATCAGATACAATTTATGTGGGGGCAGAAATTCTCTTAAAACATGATCAGGACATGATATCTTGATTCTCGTGCACACCACGAGGACATGCCACGCGTCCCAACTTCTTGTGGTTAATAAAACCATTCCTTCGCTTTCAATTAACTAACTACCTCACCGCTTCTGCCACACTCAACAACACCGCGTTTGGCTCACACCTCACAACACTTCTTCATCTTCTTTCCTACTTAACGCGTTTGAGTGAGTGAGTGAGTCAATCGTCCAATCGCGCTTTCTATATATAAATCGCGAGTGAGGCAGGGCAACCAGCGGAACCGAACTCACCGAACCAAAAACTATTCAGTTCTCTGTTTTTGGTTTATTTTTTTTCTCTCGGTGTCGCCATGGACGAAGAGGTGCGCAAGATCTTCAACAAGTTCGACAAGAACGGGGACGGGAAGATCTCGTGCGCGGAGTTGAGGGACCTGATGGCGGCCCTGGGATCGAAAACGACGGCGGAGGAGGTGCGGCGCATGATGGCGGAGCTCGACCGAAACGGCGACGGCTACATTGATTTGAAGGAGTTCGGGGAGTTTCACTGTAGTGGCGACGGGGGTGACGGGAGGGAGCTACGGGAGGCGTTCGAGCTGTACGATCTGGACAAAAACGGGCTGATCTCGGCAAAGGAACTGCACTCCGTGATGCGGAGGCTGGGAGAGAAGTGCTCCCTCAGTGACTGCCGGAGAATGATTGGAAACGTAGATGCTGACGGCGACGGCAACGTTAATTTCGAAGAGTTCAAAAAGATGATGACGCGCTCGTAGTTAAGTAAGTCACTGATCTATTTTAGTGAATGAATGGCATGCATTTTACAATGATTTTGTTATTACGAATGTAGTGTGGTTGAAATTTAAATTAAGATGTGGAATTAATGGGAAAGGAAAATAAAACATTCCTTTTACTGTTTCATACTAACTACAAGTAGATTTTACTCTCACAATCCAATAACAGTTTTAATAATTTTTCATAGATAGTGACTCTCCTCGAAAACGTAATTCAACAAAAGTTTCCGAAATGGGTTCCATCAAAGCTAAATCTATGTCTGTCTATTGAAATGAAAGTTTTATAATATCAGTAATGATTAGGTTGAAGAATAAAAATGACTGTTAACATAGTAAAGTAAGCACAAACATTAACTTCGAACGAGATTTTCTAGCATCAAAACTAAATTCACAGATAAATTATATCTCGGGAACTTTTCTAATTTTAATTATTTCATGAACTTATTTCAGAGAAATAAACTTAGATGATACTCAAATGACCGTAAATTACTTTTCTGAAGACTAAAATAATTGTTTACCTACATTATAAAATAACGATCCAAAGTTCAAATAATTGTTAAAGTTTGACAATAATATAATAATCCAATAAAATTGTCTCTAAAAGAAAATACTTATAGGTCTGATTAACTAAAAATTATGAGATAATTAATATGTATATTTTTACTACAATATATATGTTTAATGCTAGACAATCTTAGATAATTGTCAATTTAAAAAAACATTTTTTTCTAGTTTTCTATATTTCATACAATTATTTGTTCCAAATTATCAAGCTCAAGATTACTATTAAATTAGACTAATATCATAAGTTAATTCACTTTTTTAGAGGTATAACATGCCAGAAAACAAAAGAAAAATAATATGGATAAACCAAAATCATTCTAAATAAGATTTTTAAAGTTAAGAAATAAAAAATAAAAAATTAGATAAAACTATTCCAGATAAGATTTTTAATGCAATTATTATAAAATATTGTCATATTATACATTATAATCTATAATTGAATTATTATAAAATTATTTATATTAATTGTATATTTTAAGTAAATTAAGAATAAAATGGAATTAATGCATATTTATATTTGTTTATTTTAAATGATCTGAATTAATTTTCATGAAAAACTCGATACAATTTTATATGAACATCCTTTATTAGACAATTAGTTGTTAACTTGTTTCCATTGGATCTTCACTAATCTCATCTTTTTCATTTTTGAGCGTTGCAGTTTCTTCGTCACCCTTTGGTGATTTCATCTTGCTTCATATTGGGAGGTGGCGGCAATGTTTTCTTCACCAGCTCTACTATTTCATTCACCTCGTCATCTGAGAAACGCCCCTCACAATTCTCTATGATCTGTGTAATCAAAGTGAACAAACTGATTAATTACAATTTCGTAAGGTTAGCTATTGAAATAGACTAAATATTTTAAAGCATATTATCATTCTCAAATCCAAGTCCTACCAATAGAATGGAGAATTCGTGATCATGAATAAGAGTTAACAAGACTCTCGGCAGAAAATTATTATCAAACATAACACAGCTCGCTAATTCAACAATTGCTAATTTTTCTTATGCACAGTCAAACATGGCAGATTTGCAAAACTGATGTTCCCTAACTCCTTACTCCTTAGACAAACACAATTAATCACTGAGTTTACATTTCTAACATAGAAGAATGACAATCTCTTAACAGTGAAAATTAATTTGATAAGTAGACAGTGAAAATTAATTTGATAAGTAGACAGTGGGTAGAATGTAACGAGTTATCTTACTAAGTTATTCTTAGGTTCCATGAGGATATCTTGAAACAAGAATTACAATTTCTTTAGTTCGAAAATTAAATTAATGAATGAGCAATGAATAAAATGTAATAAATTATCATTGAGTTCCATAACTATGTCTTGAAATAAAATATATAAAATTTGAAATTAGATACTGTTAAGGTTCCAACATAAAACCAGCAATATGTGGAGTAGCCTAACATGTATTTAAACCATACCAAATGACATGAGGTAGGCGGTGTGGGACTTTCAACACACCCTCCAACGAGCCTCACGGATCAGGCAAAGAGTACTTTTGACCCAACTAAAGCGGCAACTTTTGGTCCATGACAATAACCTGAAAGATGTTAGGCTTTGGCTCGATACCATGTTAAGGTTCCAACATAAAACCAATCGACAATATGTGGAGTAGCTTAACATGTATTTAAACCATACCAAATGACATGAGGTAGGCGGTGTGGGACTTTCAACAGATACAATGAAAAATATAATGTAATTTTTTTCCTTTAATTGTTTTCAAGTTAGATGTAATTTTTTTTCCTAATTATTTTTAAGTTAATTATAATTTTTTTCCCTTAATTATATTTCCAATTAGATACGGCGACAAAATTGTCTCTAATTGTTTTGTACTCCAAGGGTTTTATTATATATTTATTCATATTACTTTTCTTTTCTTTATGTATTCTACAATTAATTCTTATTATTATATATTATTTTTTCAAATAATATTTATATTAAATTGGAATTGTTATTATGTCGTGATAAATTTATTTTAAGTTGAATATATTATTATATTATTAAAATATATATTATTTTATTTAACTTGGTTCAACTTCGATTTAATTTTCGGTTAAATCTGGTTGAACCTCTGAACCCTAATCCCATATGTTCATTAGTACCGATTCGGTTTTGAGAACCATGATATATTTCTTAATAGGGTTAAAAAAGGTTTATTCCTTCCAAATTATAGTCTATAAAAACAAAAATTTGATCATTTTTAGTCTGTCATTTATTTTTAACCATCAATATTAATCCCTTACCGGGACTAATTTTTACCTCATGAAGGAATAATTTTGAAACAAAAAAGTTTATAGGTACTGAACACAAATCCAAAAATCCAAAAATTTTAGAGGGATTAACTTCATTAATTCTTCTTAACATCTTTATTAAGTTTGGAGTTTAAACCCTACCTACAGATGACCATAGCTAGTCTACACTGACTGTAAATTTTTTATACTGTTGTCTAATTAGAAATGATCTTGTGATATAAGTTAAAAAAGTCTAATAATATGCTCCTTCATTCCCTTAAATGAGCAAAGCTTGTGACAAGTAAAGCTTCACAGAGGTAGCAAAACAGAGAGATTTTAAAACTTCAAAGATTGGATCTTTGTTGTAGATATGGTCCATTAGGGTCAGCCCATGACCACTACCATCTGTATTCAAACCAAAGGGGACCCAGTGCATCAACTTGCTTATATATGTATGCAGTTTTATCTTCACAACACAAATGGAGAATGGAGTGTATGTTTCCATGATTTTAACCCATGACTTCTATAGTTCACAAGGCAGCGCCTCACTTTTCGCTATGGTTCACCCTCTAATTTACTAACAGGTCTATATATAAGTTGGGACCAAAGAAAGTTTAATTAAATCTAATTTTCTCTATATGCTTCAAACTAAGTATCATCACAGGATTCCCTAGAAAAGCAATTCGAGAAGTCATAAAAAATAGAAATCGTTAACAAGGCATTCAAAATTGTATTGGTTATTGCATCTAAGATGTGGATTGAGGAACGAGTAACTACTCTTTCTTTTTTGTGCATTAAATGTTACTAATAAAGCAGCACTGTGCTTCCAAACTGGCTGATCTTACCAAGAATAGTTTCTTATGAAGCGGAACAAATTTGTTGTGAGAAGAAAAATAGGAATTACGCTATAATACCTGTTAATTGTCAGAAATTTTTTGTTGCTTATATGCTAGTGTTGTCAAGTTTACATCACAGCTTAAAAGTTAAAAGCCAATATTTCATACTTCAAAGCTCAAGACAAATAACAGAAAACACATTGCGGAGCTAATATAATAACTTTTAATTATAGGTGTAAAATTAATGGCAAAATTAAAATTTGATACTTACAGGGAATATTTCAACATCAGCAACTGGTCTAGTGTTTAATATGTTCAGAACCTCAGCTTTTGCCAGGTCATGCTGTTTAATACTTGTCAAAAACTCATTGATGGTCTCTTTTGTTTGATCAGAGGCAGCAGTGCCAACCAAATAATCATAAACCTGTTAGATATGCAACACATTCATCATCTACCAATAAAACTTTAAAAAATATTTCCATCTATTAGAAAAAGCAAATCTAACCTTATATTCAGACTGCGCTACTTTGGCAATAACCCTTGTCGGATCCTTTGAAGCTCCTTTAGCTCGTAAGAAATCAAGGACCTCAAAATTTGTGAGTGCACCAGCATTTGCCTCCAAGCTATGACAAAGTTATTAAAACATCAACGCCCATAGAAAAGAGAAAGGTTCAATTGAAATTAGTGTATTAATTTGAAAACAAGTAAAAATAACATACATTTTCATTTGTAAGACACCAGAGAGAGAGAAGGAAGTAACACAAAGAGATTGTATTCTTTGCTTCTGCAATAAACCCAATACATAAACACAATCAAACAATTGAATTTTTACAAAATACATCCTAACAATTTAAATTTAACACACAAAATTGGGGTGAGGTGGACATCAGATGGAACAAAATTGAGTTGGGTGTTATTTCTCCTACTGCAAAACTAGCAATATTCAAATATTGAACCAATGCATATAATTTGAGCGACTAATCAAGAATAAAATAGTGAAGACAGAACTGTCACAGTGCTACAAATCTATAACACAACACAAGATAACCATTTTGAAGAGGCGACACACACCACAAACTATTCACCAAGCTGTAAAACAATATTCAAATCGAACTTCCTTTTTTTATTATTATTTTAGTTCCTAATGTTCAGAAGGTGATTTAAAAATATTGCATCATGGTAAATAGTCTTCACCAAGTTCGAATTGTGTTAGTGGTCTTAACCACAGTAACAGGTTATTCTCAGGTTCTCCATCTCACCATTAAGTGTTAACTCAAGACCTGCCCCATGACTTTATTTCTGTGTCCTCATTGTAAACACCTCGTTTTTTTTTTCAAATAATCCAAAATTTAATGCAAAAATATACAAAAAAAAGGAAACAGTCTTCCCCTTTCTCCTTCGCAGAGAAGACGGACCCATTTTCGTGTTTCCATCCCCAGCCACCTGCAACCACCAGTAGGTATCAACAGAAGCCCCACGGCCACCCTACAGCGACCCTCTCTCTGCAAGGGCCACCTTCCCTCTGCCAGCCACCAACATTCACCCTGAATTCTTGCAACCCAATGGATTGAACAAATGGGGATTTGAAAGAGGGGGAGCAGATAGATTACAAAGTAAACGGACGGGCAAATACCCAATAAAGCCCGAAACACAAAACCAAAAGCAATCCATATAAGAACAAACCGAAGTCCATACCTTTTTCTCTGCCAGCAATCCTGCACGGCCAACCTTGCCTCCGCCCCGCGTCGCGCCTCCACCCTCGAGTCGCGGCCACCACCACTACACGTTACCTTCGCGGCCACAGTCTTCGCCGGCGCACCAGCACCTCCGTGATCTACCACTGTGCGCCACCTCCGTTGCCTCCTACACTGGTCTCCTCACCCTCATCTAGGTTAGACTAAATTTAGGTTAAGTTATGGCTCAAGAGAGATATGGGCCGTGATGTTCATTTGAACTAGGGTGAAAATAACAAAAACAGGCTTTCAAATATTGAAATGAGTCTGAAATATTGTTTTTGTTTGCGAATTGTTAACCAAACGAAATTTTAATGCGTTCAGTTCAGGTTTACCATAACAAAAACTAAGTTTTAAGGATTAAAATTTTGTCATGTTTAAATTTTAAATGTAAAAATAAAAATATAATTTAATACTTTTCTTGAAAATAAGATCATTATAATAAATAATAAATTGATAATTAAATTTTAATAATAATATTTTTTTCTTTTTTAAATATTAAAATATTATTTTATGAAATTATTATTAAATACATAATACTATTTTTATTAATTGAAATTGTAACAAAATATTTTAAAAACTGTACAAATATTAATAATTGAGAAGTATTTGTACCTCATTTATAGATGAACTAGAGTACAACCTCCAAAAATTATAGGTTATTATGGACCTATTTTTTAAATAATCATTATAAATGTAATGTGATAAATTATAATTGATGAAAAAATATTTTAAATTATCAATGCATCTTTGTTTTAATTAATCAATACACCTAATGAAGTTAAAAATTATAAATTACAGTGATAAGGAGAAAGAACATATTTTAAAAAAAATATTAGAAAGAGAAGAAATAAATTTATTTAGATGAAATGCGTGAATATTGGTTGAGTATTTTCCATGGACATATACAAAAAATAAATTATCAATGAGTAATATATATATATATATATATATATATATATATATATATATTATAATTAAAATTATGATCTCACGATAAAATTAAATTTTTAAATGAAATAAAATAATGGAATCGTCACTAATATTCATTTTAAGAAAAGTATCGAAAAAAATCTTTTAAAATAAAAGAAAGTGGTTTGTGAAATAAAGTTTGAGTTCGATAGTCAATTATATATAAGAAAAGTATTAATACTCTACAATCTCTATTCTAAAATGGTTACATTTAATTAGACATAAAAATTTAAATATCTTAAAATTATCTATTTTATCCCTCAAACTTATATATTTATTAAAGGTTGCTAAAAAAATTATATATTTTTATATTTTTGGCTCAAATCTCCTCGCTCCTACGTATCCCCTAGTGCAATGGAGGATCAGGGTAACGTAGTTCTTTTTTACAAATATTTGTGAATAATTTATTTTAATTTATCTATTTATGTCGCTAAGTTAAATGTGTGCATGTAATAATCAAATTATAAGTATATCTAAGGTCATTATCATTTTTATAATTTGAATAATAATTAAATCTGAAGTTCATCAAAAATAATTTAATCGTACTTGTAATTTCTATTTGAATTTAAAATGTATATATATATATATATATATATATATATATATATATATATTAAATATTTTGTTATAATCAAGTCAAAAGTACATTTCAAGTGATTATTATGATTTTATAGCAACCAAGTTAGATGTGCATGCAAAGTGGTTAAACCTTTATGAGTATTTTCTTACTACTCTAATAATAACAATATTGTATGTTTAATAGCACTCAAAAAAAGAAAGTGATAAATATTGAAATTTAATTGTCAATATAATAATAATGATATACTAATTTAAATCATTTAAAAAAAGAAAAAAAGAAGAAAAAGAAAAAAAATGAATAATTTTTTATTCGAAATTTGAATAAACTAATAATAATAAATTTTTCGACTTATTATTTGTAACTTGTTTTTTTGTTATGTTGTTTAGTTTTAAAAAAACATTAGGTTCAATAACTCATAAAAATAAAAATATTTCAAATTACTATTTACAACCTTTTATGTTATTTTCATCCCTCAAATTTGGGCCACTCATCCTTTAATTAAGCCCACGCTCTTTCGACCCATATTCCAATTGAGCTTCATCTTGACCTAAACCTAATAGGGGAGCCACAGGGAGATGAGACAAGCACACTAAGTGACTAACTAAACCTAATAGGGGGAGCCACAAGGTGATGAGACAAGCACACTGAGTGACTAACGATGGGGTTTATGGTGGCAGCGTGACACGATGACCTATGATGGAGGGGTGAAGGTTAGGTGCGATGAGAAACATAACTAGGAGGGAGGACGTGGTGGCTCCAGTGCGGCTCATAGCGTGGTTAGGATTTTGATGGTGAGGGGAAATGAAGTTTTTAGGGTAGGACTAGGGAGGGGGCGTGACTAGGGTGGTCGGAGTTGAGCAGGTCATGGTGACTTTAGGGGTTGCAGAGGTGGAGGTTAATGTTGAAGCTACGGTGGTTTTGGCTTGTGGCGAGGAGGTGAGGGTGCAAGGGAAGTGAGATGGAGAGGAGTGGTTGTAGGGTGGACCACACTTAGGTTTTATGTCCTAACGATGGTGGTCGGTTGGGAATGTGGTGGATCACGCGATGATGGTGGCAGCGGGAGTGAGGGTTAGGTGCAGGAGAAATGGAGATGAAGACTGGTGATGATGGTGAACGAGGATGAGGGTGAGATGAAGGTGCGGTTGTGAATGGAGAGACGTGAGGATGGAGGTGCGGTTATGAGTGGAGAGACAGGATGGAGGTGTGGTTATGAGTGGAGAGACATGATGGAGATGTGAATGGAGAGGTGAGTGAAGATTAGGTGCAATGATTGTCGTTTTGGTGACAAAGATATTTTATTTGTTTTTTAATTTGTTATTTAAAATGTATACTTGTTAGAGTTTCATACATTAAAGGCAACTTGCAACAATTACAAGTCATTAATTAACATGGATGACAACGAGTACAGAGAATCCATTAACAATGGAGATGACAACGAGTACAAAGAATCCATTAACAATGGAGATGACAACAAGCATAGAGAATTAATTAATAATGGAGATGACAATAATTATAGAGAAGCAATTAACAATTAACAATGGAGGTGTTGTATTGACTGAGAAGTAAACCTGGATTTTGTGTGAAATTGTTGTATTGATGTATTGTGAAATTGTGGTATTGATTGAGAAGTAAACCTAGATTTTGTGTGAAATTGTTGTATTGACTGTATTGCTGTGTTGACTATATTGTTGTTGTATTGTAATGTTGACTATTGTGTTGACTTTATTGTTGTGACTGTGATTGTGATGATGGGTGTGGGTTCTGTGATGATGGATGTGGGTGGTGTTCTGTTTACCATTTCTAATGGTGGGGGTGTAATGATATTTTTGTAATTTTCTATGGTGGGTGTTGTTCTGTTTGTAATTTGTATTGGTAGGTGCTCTTATGTTCTATTATTGCTATTGTTTTCTTGTAGCTTCCTCCCCTTTTTGTTGAGGTTATCTTACAATTTGTAGAGAAACCAACATGCAGGATGGCTGAAGTAGTAAGGGTGCTGGCAGGGTGTGTTGGTGGCTGGTAGGGTGGTGTAACAATTGGGGAAGCAGGGAAAGTAGTGGACAAGATAAAAGAATGTTCTTCTACCTATTTTTACTATTTTTCATTTTTTTCTTTGATCTATTTGGTGTTTACAGTTGTCCATCTTTAATTAAGTTTTATCAGATAATTTGGATGTGAATTTATATCGTCATAATAAAATATAATTAAAGATGTGAATACCGAAGTACTACAAATATAAAATTGTGATTTGAAAATTTGAAAAATTTAGAAATGGACTCGGGGATTTGATATTGATATTGTGATTGAAAATTTAAAAGTGGGTTCAGAGAGTATTGTAAATATAAAATTATGATTTGAAAAGTTGAAAAACTTAAAAATGGACTCGGGGATCCGATATTGTGATTGAAAATTTAGAAGTGGGTTCGGAGACCCAGGACTTGGGGACCAAATACAAAACTATGATTTGAGATTTGAGGTCTTTAAAGCTTGAAAATGGAAACTAATGCATATAATTTAAACCCTTAAAAAGGGGCTCAAAGAAGTATTTAAACATTAAAAGTAATGCATATAATTTAAACCTTATAAGGGGCATGTGAAGCTAACAACATGAATATAAGGCCATGGGAAGCTAACAACATGAATATTTTTTGCATCTTTCAACTATTGGCACGAGTTTGATTACTATGGGCACATGGACCTAGTATTAAAACCGTATAGATAGATGTATATATTGAATGGAACAAAGGTTAAATAGGTATTTATTCTTAATTTAAACAAGTAATGCATGATATGTGTTTTATAAATAAGGTGCATGATATGTGATTCACAAATAAAGTATGATATGTAATTCATGATATGCAAATTCATGATGGTTGCATGATGCATGTACTTTTGACTAATGATTTTTGTTTTATCATTATTATTATCTATATATATGTACTTTAGACTAATGATGCATGTAATTTTTTTTAATGCACATTTTCCTACCCCTTGACCCCTTAAGGTTTCGAATGTATTGAGATTCATGGAAGGAAATCATCTAGAAATTGTATTTTCATTCCAAAACATGTTGAATTCGTCTTCTTCAATTGGATCATGGTTATGCTTTGCTATTTAAGATTCCTAATTGTCAACAACTAACTATTTTCCACATTGTTTCATTTTTTTAATCATCACATTTTTCATTATAATGCATTATTAACATTATGACATGTTCCTTTATTGGTATATTCATAATGAAATGACACAAAGAGGTGGTGGTTGAGATAATTTATTTTTATTGCTAGAAATGGAAAGAGTGCACACAGGGACAATTTTGTTTAAGGAATACAAACATAAGTGACAATTTGAGGGTTTTTTGAGTAACAATATTGATATGAACCTCCTTTGCACTAGGGCTGACTTATGATCTTTTGGTTAGAACCTTGTAGAAAATTTAGGAAATTAGTGAGAAGAGAGATTAGAAAGTGGTGAAAGTTTTAAGGTTGGACAGTATTTTTGAAATGTCGATATCTCAAGTTATAAAACTCCGATTGAGGTGATTAAAAAAAAGATGAAAGTTCTCGTTCTGAATTTCAATTTAGGCTAAAAAAACACTCAATTTGGACGAGAAGAACAAAAGTTATGACCATGAAATAAATGTAGGCAGAATTGAGATTTTTGGGTTCTAGTGAAGAAAGGACAAGAGGTGAATGTGAAAGGTCGAAGGAAAGAATCACTTTTCCCAAAGGAGGCAACTCACAAAGGATGTGAAAGTTCTTTGATACAGCCAATGGTTCTTGAATCACTCAAGAATTTAGGAGAATCACTCTCACTAAGATAAAATAGCTAAACTCTAATATTTCTGAATAAAACTTAACTTGTTATTTTTGACAAAAATGGTTCAACTGATATAGAAGCTTTGTCATTAGAATTACAAAGATTCAATAAAGGAAAATAAATCCTAATAATGATCCATTAATCTAGTGATTGAAAACTACTTAATGGAGGCAAATAAATGCTAATAATGATCCATTAACTTAGGAATTGAAAACTACTTAATGACTAATTGTAACTGAAATTGTGGCAACC